CTCTTTCACAATGCCCGAGTTTGGCTTATGTGACCTGAGGCCCATTTTCGTAATTGGATGATTGCCTCTCAATTCTCTAAATACTTTCATGCTGGTGCATGGCTACCGAGAGATGTTGCTGCAGACGTTATCGACTTGCTTGGAACAATGCCTTCTGAAAACCCCTATGGAGATTTGAATGATGCTGCTCTCACACAAATGATCAGCTTGAACGGGCCTCGTCGTCGACACCTACTTTCTGGTATCGAACTAGTTGACAGGTCTCCTTCTCAACTCCTTCGGCATATACGCCTCTTTTTAGGGGATATCAAGGTTAATGATTCCGTTCTATGCCAAATGTGGACTAAAACTTTCTTGGCACACACGAACACAATCACCTCGTTCCAAAGCTCTAGCGAACATTTGGATAATCTCATAATATCCACGAATGTCCCACTCACGGAGAAAATCAAACCATGTGCTCTGGTGTAGCAGCTAACAGATAGCCAACCACCTACTGAGATTGGATGAATTATCATCTAGACAGCCTCAACAGCGACAGCGCACCAATTCCCGTTTCCGCTAGCCAAGTCAACCCAGGAAGAGATCCGACCTACCCTTGTTACCCGTTGTCGGCTTTGCTGATTCACTTCAGTAATTGTCGAGCGTTTGCTGTTTCACAGCTAACACTCTTGGCTGGGAATATTTGTAGTGGACTGACAGCCGCCCCGCGCGAGTGTGCGTGCATGAAGGCCCGTGTGTAGCGATGACTTATCCCCTTTTGTTATTGATTTTTGTCAGCATTCTCCTGTTACGCACGCGTGCTCATACGCACACAAAGCCACTTGGCTGGTTCGACTCTAATAAACGGTCGTGTTCCTTGTCGCCTCCTTTTTCCTATCCTCGGGTAGCCACGGGCTGTTAACTAGAGGGTTGTAAGGTAGTGCTTAGACCATAAGCTACTACAGGCTCTCACCGTGAATGAATTAAGTAATTTTGAGCAGTGACCTATCTTAAAATGCCATAGTTTTAAAATCGTGATAAGGCTTGGATAGCTTTTTGAGTCGACTACCTGGTGCTTACTGGCCTTTCTAGAACTTGGGTTACTCATAATCGAAAAAAGTTTTACGCTGAAGTAATCACCTGTATGAGGTAAAGCTGTGCACGCCTACTAACTTAAGATCAAATGTGCCTGCGTAAAGGAAATATGGATGAGTTGAATTCTATCTACACATGAAAGTATTTACCTTCATAGCCAATTCCTTTTCGGACAAACACTTTTCGTAGATAACGAGTTGCTCAGCTATTTCTGGGCCGGGTTGACGAGCAAGAACTTGTTTTAAGTCAACGTAAAGGCGCTCCTTAGTTTCGATTTGAATTTCCTTTTCCACAACTTCCTCAGTCTTCCCCATGAGGCGTTTCTGCAGCATGTGGATCTTTTTGATCATCTCAAAGGACGAGGGGTCACTGCCCTGGTTAAGTGAGAAAAAATTTTACATCTGCCAGCGGCAATGCAGCGTACAGTGATTACAACAAATAACCCGCCTCAGCCTTTGATATCGAAATTCTAGAAACAGTATTTCTATGTCACATAAGGTAATCCTAACGACTTAAGGCATGTATTGCTGTTTGAAGCACATAATTAATCGGTGAAAAAAGCGCCTTTCTGAACCACTGTCGTGGTCACTCGGCTTACTTACGTCAAGATGAACGTATTTGTCAAACACTTTACATATCAAGACAGCTAATCAACTGATGTTTTTAAATATTTGTTAATAAAACTAGGCATTTTAATGCTCTCTAAGTGAATAAATACAGCCAATAAAACATTGTTTGATTATGCCTTAAGATTCACATTAGATATTGTTGAATGTGGAGTTAATCCTACTGCTTCGACTTTTAAACATGACATCCTATTTAATTTAACATTAGTAAATATGGCTCTAATTGTGAATCGCATTTGTCAGGTTTTTACTACAAATATTATTTGACCGTCAGTGAATATTTATTTACCTACACTTTAGACTTGAATGTATGATGATGAAAGTGACTGGAACCGGTCTATAACCCGCTACGGTGTGGTAATGAAACATTTAAGAATATTCGCACTTGTTATTTTAAAAAGTTTATTATTCTTGTCCTAACACATCACTCTGCAAACGATAGACCACTAACGTGCGAGTCATTTTACTATTCACAAGAAACAGTCCCAGCAAAATCAGCTAGATATATCTGAAAAGAAGCACTGCACATGTCAAGATAGGCTGAAAAGAAAAGCAAAACAACAAGAACACGCAATAAATCAATAAAACATCATCGAAAATAACATAAACACTTTTATTGGTGTACCTCCGGCAGAAAATCGTATTTACGCCAATCTTCGAGGTAATATATCTGGAGGAGAGTTAAGTAAAATGTACCAACGTAGATGAGGCAACAAATGTAACAGGGGAAAAATTATATTAGAACTCATGTATGTATTACTTAAAATTTTCTAGTGGAGAAGCCACTACATAGGTCGATTTTACAATTTGAACTGTTTAAAGGTTAAGATTTGAACCAATAAGTAAGCAGCAGTGCGTTAAGCAAGATGCTGAAGCGTGCTTACCAAAGTCGTGCATTCACGATTGTTTTTTTTTTCAAAAAAATATGATTAATATTTTCGATGAAACTGAAAGATATTTATAAGATCGTTTACGATAGCAATGATGGGGCATAAGGTAAAACTCTGCTTTGACATTTTTAAGTGTTATTAATCATTATATCCCGATATTTAAATTCGTGGTTGCTACACAGGTCAAAAACAAATGAAAGCGCCTCCAAGTCAGCTTCGTTAAATTCTTATTCAATGCAAAACTACTAGATCAGACATATTAGCTAAAATAAATAAACATAAACAATATATCTTTTGCGTGTATATGGCCGTATCAACTAAAATATTGTGTAAGCTGAAACGGATGAAATGTAGTTCAATCTCACCTCTAATTTTCTCCAGCGGTGTACATTTATGGGCTTTTTCGCTTCATCTTCCAGAGCCTTGAGCCGAGTCTGCTCCCATCCAAGTTCCTTCCTAGCTCTGATAACCTCACGTTTCAGGTCATCTATTTTAGAGACGCTAGCCTGTAGCATGGCCTTCTCTCGTCTTGCACTGCAAATGTCAGCCCTTACTCGTCTTAGATCCTCAAGTACCTTGTTGTATTGCGCTTCAGCCTGATCCAGCACGGATTTTTGAATTCGAATCTTGTCGTAGAGATTCGCCAACTCATCATTTCGCTTTACTAACTGGATACCCAGTATATCCTTTTCACTAACCACTTGGTCTAATTCCTTTCGATGTTTCGCTCTTGCAAACTCAGCTTCAGCAATTATCTTCAAGAGTCTTCTCTCTTCTGCCTCGTGCGCTTCAATTTTCAATCGATTCTCCTTTGCCATGTCTTTCATGCGCTGAAGCTCCTTGTGCATGTTATTGCGTTCCTGAGTCATTCGCTGACATTCTGAGGACTCCTGAACCATCAACATATCCTTGTTAATAATTTCTTCTTTTAACTGAGCAATATGAAGAGTTATTATACGCAATTTACGTTTCATTTCACTAATTTCATCCTGCGCCTCGATAAGGTTTTTAGAGTAAAGATTCCTGTCATCCTTGACAGCTTCATAAAGGTTCTCTTGCTGCTTTAGCTTAGTTCGCGCTTCAGCAATTTTTTTCTTAAAATCAAATATTTGCATTTCTCGCAGTTTTACCTCCTCCATTAGATCGAGAACCTTTTGAGTGAAATTTGCAGCCTCCTGGAGATAACGGTCTCTTTCCATTTCTAACATGCATATAATTTGCCGCTGCGTTTCGGCCTCTTGCCTGTATTTAATAATCTCTTGCTCAAGATTCCGTTTTGACTGTTCATGGAGGCGCAGAAGATTCGCCTGCTTAGCAGTTTGACCGGACATTTTAAAGAGGGTTTTTGAAAGAATTTCGCGTTCTCTAGCTAATTCTTCACAGGCCTTTCGATCATTGTCCATGGCTTTCCGCATGGCTTCTAATTCACCGTCGATAGCTGCAATGCTCTCACGTAGCTTGTCACGTGACCTTTCTAACTCCAGCTTCTTTTCGTCAGCACTACGAATTCGACGGCTGGTAACTTCATTCAGGCGCACCAACTTGGAGTTTTCTGACTTTATCGCCAAAACTTCTTCCTCTTTTTGCTAAATAGAAAAAATGTCACCTTCATATCAAATTATTGTCCAACAGAACACTTAATTTACATTCCTTAACTTAGACCTGGCCATTGCTTTTGTGAACTGATATGCTTGTGATTACTTTAACATCAACTCAGCGTAAGTAGCACTTAGACTGGACAGGATGATTGTCATGATTGTCGCCAAGATCCTACGAGGAACATAACTACATTGCCAGAAAAAAACACTTAGCCATCGTATGTGATAGCATGGAAGAATGTTTGGCTATACATCGTTGTAAAATCCGGCATCTTCAAAAACGTATCTGAGTTAGCCTGAAGAATGTGGACGGAATTCTGTACACTTAATTGTTTTGGAAATGACAGCATTGAAGTTTGACCTATGTGGAATAAGGCAATGCAAAGCACTTTTTAATGGCCTTTCTTTCGTCTGAATAATGATCCGTTGTGGAACAAAGAAACATTACCTTGACTTCCATCATTCGACTTTGATTTTCGGCTCTGACACTCTCAGTTAGTGACATTTGGGCTTCAAGTTTAGACTGAGCGTCAGCTAGTTTAGACTCCGTCACTTGCAATTGCCGATTTGTCTGCTCTAGAGAGATTTTTAGAAGGCGGTCTTCCTCCTGTCGGGATTTCAAATCATTTCGGAGTTGTTCGATAATGTTAGTAATGGTTTTTATTTCTGTTTGCTTCAGCTCTACCTCATCACGAACTTCATTCATTTCTAGCTCCATCTTTTCTTTTTTGCGCAACTCCCGTTGAGCATCACCGGCCCTGGCCTAAGATGACCATGAAAAAAACTACGCAAGTCTCAATTAGCCAGGAACAAATGCTATAAAATATATTACTTGGCAGGAAATTTTAAGCAGCCTGCAAAACGATGTGTCTGAATTCGGATATAAAACACACGTAATAAGAGAAATTAAGACATCATACTTGAATATCTCGGCCCAACTCGGCAATCTTCTGCTGGGCGAGAAGAACATCGTCCTGCAGAGCGGCAATTTGCTCCTTTGCTGCCTCGATTTCTGCGCGGAGTTTTGCGTTCTCAACAGCTTGTTCAGATTTCTCTTTCGCTAGCTTCTCCAGGTTCTTTGTGACCTCAGATATCCTAAAATTGATGAAAGATAAAATGAAAGGCCTGATTCGTAAAAAACCTTTTAATTTTATGATTTATTTCGATGTGATATACGAAAATTTTATATAAATGGTCCTTTCTGGAAGACCTCTGAAAAAAATTATGAATACAGATTTGAAAAACTACAATTGTTCTTAATAGAAATATCGGCTTTTCACATATAAGCATAGGTAAAGCGTTGTTTATAATACAATTGTGCAAAGCGGCCGAGGTAATAACAAAGTCAAATCTGCTAGAGTTTGTTTGAGAATGTTGAACAAGTTAATTGCAATCGGTAACCCAAGGCTCTGTACGCTATCATCTGTTGGTTAAAGTCTAAAGTGACTGAATAAACTCGACCATTGACAAATTAATTATGTCTTTATAATCCTTACCCATTGTTTACCTCTTAACTACTTTCACATAAGTATTGCATCACACGAACTGGCATTTATTCATGAACCCCAGTGCTTTGCTACTGACTACGCATTATGTAGAGACGTATACTTACGTCTGTATAAATTATAACTCCTGTATGCTTAGAACTTCGCTAAGTAGACAGGCATTCTCAATCTCCGGCCCCATTAAAGGTTAGGGAAGAAATTTAAAAGACCTCTTGGTATTTATTGTCTAATGCAATAATCAGCAAATAGGAAACCAATCAAGTACTGAAAACAGCAAGAAGATAATAATGAAAAAGTGTGGACGACGCACTTTTCGGAGATTTGTTACAATTTTTTAAAAATACCCCAATGAATGCTATGCTTTAGCATTCACACAGTACAGATTTTGGAATTATATTTCTGGGTTACAGAAACATTGCGAAATTAGTCGATTTTTGGGTTGAAAGTTTAGCAAAACTTATCCTCCAAGATGAGCTTGTTATATTTTATTTCGAATAAACTTACGCATCAACTGCAACCTCACCCGTGTCCCCCTTTTCAATAATATTCCCAAGAACAGCTATTTCTTCTTTTAGAAGCTTTATGCGCTGACGCGCTTTGTTTTCTTTGTCAGTAGCATTTGCTACTTGCTTCCAAGCCAACTCCAGTTCTTTTTTTAAGGCTGCTATATTCGAAGAATCTTCGCTAGAAATTTTTTTCACGTGTTCAAGACGCACAGCATTGGAAAAAATGTCAGCTCTTAGTTCACGGCATTTTATCATTAATTTCCTCTCATTTTCGTGAGATTTTTGAAAAGCGACCATAATTTTGCCATATTCATCACAAAACCTTGCAAGCTGCTTATTTCGTTTTAAATCTAATAACAGCTAACGGAAGTAGGCCTATTTTATAAACTCACATCTCTATGTTCCTTACATAACAGTTGAAAGAACGTTTCATCTATGGAGGACTTAACGACCCCCTTCAATATGTTTTTATCATGCTAAAGATTATTATACCATATATTGACGTCGTTACTTCGACCATCGTTGTCCGTTCGACTAGTCTTTCAACAATAAATGAGATACTTCAATACGAAGAAGTGACACCGTTACATAGCAACGAGTTGAGGTCAAGGTCAAGCACATCAGGCGAAAATGTTCATTTGACGTGTTGGATGGCCACAAACAAACTAAGGGTTTAAAAGTACTCAGTATTTCTTTGTTGGGGCTGTGGAAAAGTGTGACTTTACGTTTGATTACTGTTAATAAAATGCCATTTTTAAACTTCCTCTTCGTGCAACTCACGCATGAGCATCCTGCAAAGTAGCTGATGTTAATTCCATTAGTGTTTATTCTATTCTATTACTATTACCTTCAAATAAATTTTATTCAAAGTACCTTAGAATGGTTTTTTCGTATGCTGAACATCTTCATGGGTAACATAAGCTTTCAACTCCCCAAACTGACAAGTCAAAGCGTGCACTCTCGTTTGTTGTTTAACAACAACCATTTTATCTAAAATAGCGTATCATGTATTTAAAGATGATTGCCGCAATCCCATTTACACTTTGGCCTACTCGTCACTTTCCTCTCCGTCCTCACAGAGCCTCCATATCGCCCGGGCTACCCTGGTGAAAGTAAATTAAAGACGGCTGCACCACAATACTTTTGTTCCCTGAAATCCTGTCGCGATGTGTGCTTTCTAAGTGTATTCTACATTACTTGTGTACAACTGAAAGATTTTCTGTGACGCTGGAAGACAATATTTCTGCTTATTATTTCGAGTTTTCTCAACTTAGAGCAAGGAATCTTTTTTGTGTAGGTTTCGTTGGACTTCTTTTTTAGATGGTTAGCGGCAGCTTTGGCTGCCCTAGATGACCGACTATTTACAAATACTTTCATTTCTAACTTTTTTCATGGACTGACGATTCTGATTCTTAGCACACATATCAGGGCTCTGAGTTCTCGGGTCGCATCTCTCTATTTTATCGTAACGGAACCTTAAATTTCGCACTACCTTATATGTAATTTCCAGATTATTTTAGCCATCAAGTTTCCCATGTCCCCTCTACATTCCTCAACCTCCAAGAAGATTAATGGTATTAGGGAATAATTAATCTAACACCATCTGTTATTCACCAGATTTGCACCGATACTCATAATTATTTGTTTAACTCATATATATTTAGAGAAAAACCAAGAAACATTTCCGGAGGCACATTTTTACCCTATCGGCAAATCGACCTTAGTCTTCTTTTTGAAGAAACGACCAAAAATTGTTTAAGCCCATTTTTATTTGTTCGACGTCTTCTTAACAGCACCTTGTGTGTTCGTTCAATGTTGTGCATTTCAATCATCTCAAGTCTAGGTCACGAAATAACCTACGCTCTACGTTCAATAAACTAACCCTCACATTTGAAATACTAATCGATCATGCAACTGCGATAACGGCACCTCCACCGCTTTTTTTTAACTTATAGTATTATTCTAAAATCAACTAAATGCAACTATCGAATAACAGGAAAATTCTACATGCAGTACCGTGAATCAAATCGCAAAGCCATTAGGCCGAGAGCAGCCGGTTTTTTGACACCAGTAAAACAGAATAGATTCTGGACCGCATATTTAAGCAGATTATTTTTACTTTATCTAAATCAAGGACCTGCGCGCATAGGGTTTGACATCATCTTATATAAATATTGGATATTCCCCTTTATAAATTACACATGCGTATCGAAATTGCATTGTGTAACCCGTGCGTTAATAAATGTTCAAAATTGGCCCGAGGAATAGATAAAGTTAACATAAAAATTGGAGGCTTTGCAGGTTCAGGAATCAGCAAAAAGGAGGTTTTAGCAAATAGGAACATATACATCCAATCTTAGCCATAGTTATCGCGAAATATTGGTGCCTATCATAACTTAGCATGCAGTCTTTTATTCCTTTGTTCATAAAATACACGATAATCACAAGCCTGATCCGAAATAGACTGTCAAAAACTTATTGAATCAAAGGTGTCTAAGGTAGTAAAGTGAAATTTTTTAAATAAAATCCTATAGGATTGATATCACTTTTTAGATAAGTGGCCATAGAATTTTTGAAAAGACAAACCAGTTGTCTGAAAACGGTAAACGAGAATATGAAGATGTTGACTTAATAGAACCCTTATGTACTTGCAACTTTCCTTAAGCCAATAACGTAGAGAAAATACTGTATATTTGCGGGTATTTGGTTTCTGTGGTGTAAACAGGTAGTGGGGGGCTAAAAGTCTGGGGAACATGCCTGGTCTCATTTAATTGCCCATGCTACTATCATGGACAATGAACAACAGGTCGCAACATAAGCATTGTAGAAGTTATTTTAATTAATGAGTATTTCACGTCATGAAGTTGAGAACCGTAAATTACTCCGAATTAATTTGTCACAGATGTTGCACTTCTTTCCCTTAGAGGACGACATCAAGTCTAATAGCAATTACACAACTCCATGAGAATTAATCAGGACAGATAGATCCTTTGATTTGGGCATCTCGCCATTAAGTACGGTTGTTAAAAATTGCAATATTCTGACAATTGCCAGTTAGAAAAAAATTTTCAAGTTGAACACCGATTGAGCTGATTTTACAAATCGCCTTTTAGGTTGCAGATGAATGGGATAAATTCGTAGTTTTTCCATCCAAGTGCCAGCAAAAATCGTTTAAAGTGACTAAATTAAAAGACGGCATTAGATGCCACTTTTGAGTTTTTAAAAAAATTTCGTATAATTTTTAGATCAGGCCGATTTGATGAAACCTGAGGAAGTGCAGTTCTCGATTGTTCTTATCTTTCTGAAATGATTTGCACTTACCCGTGATGAATCAATTTTAATTAATTTTAGAGGTAAGAGATTATGGATAAGGAAACAAATAAACCAAACCAAAATCCGCTTTGACGATTCTTTCTACATAATGTTTGACATAGTAGACTGTTTTAAAGTCTCTTTATGGCATTAGTTATAAATAGTGTAAGTTTAAACTGGAGACTTGCGTAGGCAGACAAACCTTTTTTGTTTTTTGCCACTGGTCTGTATCTGTTATGTTATAATGTGTTCTGCGTTCAACACAAAGGCGGGAACTTTCATATACGCGAGTTCATGTTACTTGAGGTGACATGCGCCAAGGTTATTGTGCACAACCTAATATTAACCAAGAAATTTCAACAGTATCAAGTATTAGTCGCGATGGCCAAAAAGTCAATCTTCTTGGTATTGTTCTCTACAAATCTCGTGTAAGACGGGTAGAAAGTAAAGACGGACAGCAGTCATGCAAAGGAGTTTTTTCGTTTGTTTTGCGAGACAATATTTCATCTTGGATAAATGTTAGTTACTGGGGAACTTTCAGATCCTCTGGTGAAATGTCTTCTGGGTTTTCGATAGGTAACATATAGATATCATGAAATACAATCTTTTAAGGCGATGTTGTCCTCGTTTTACAGGGACAGGCAAGAAATAAGTGCGAAGGGTCATATGAAGATACGTTTATGTTTCAAACACCGACAGCATTTTCTGTCCTGCTGTATGAAAACCGCTCGCGCATTTTACCATACAGTTGTAGCAACAAAGCTCAAATAAAGAGACTTCAGGTAGTTTTCTTTATACTAACTCAATCTCCTGCCGTTCATACGTTCTAATGTAATTCCTTTTTATATTCATATTTTTGGACAACGAATGTTTATTTTAATAATCTTTACCCAAAATATTTAACACTTACGATATCATGAATTGCTATTTCTCTGAGTTATATTTTGTTTAGTTTACATCAGAAGTCATTAAAAAGCCACAGTTACCGTAAAGTTTTGTTCAGATTTCTTATTGCGAAATTCTCTTCTTAACTTTAAAACCTGTTTTTGCATCAAAACTATCTAAATGTCAAATAGCACCCAATGCCTTCCCTCGCAAAACTACAAGTAACGCCGACCAGGTTACAAAGCTAGATAACATCGCCAGGTTATATATATGACTTCGACTGACGGCCTTTTACGTGGATATTTCTAAATATTTCATGGTGTAGCTTTTCGACCTCTAAACTTTTCCCAATTTTTCACAGACATAACTTTGCTACTTCCAACTACAAAGTGCTGATTTTTACTAGGTGGCTTGGTAGGTAAACTAGAAGTTTCGTATTCATCCTTGAAGCAGTTCATAAGCGTGGATAACTATGTAAGTTACAACTGTGTGCAAAAATTTTAGACTCACTATTGAACATACATGTCGACTCAAAAAAAATAAAAGACTATCCTAAGTTTTTGTAAACGTATACGTATTATCATAAACACCGAACCTTACATCTTCTTTCCAATATCGAATTGGGTGGCAGATCTTTTTCTCAACTTACACTCATATGCACTGATGCAGGTAGCGTTTTTAAATTTTTAATGACACTGGTGTTTTAGTTATTGTTATTCTTGAGGATATGACAAGCGCCAACTCAAAGTCTTTTGTCTATAAATTCAAGCCACAAGAAACCCGATTTAGTGTATGGTCAATAGTTACCCACCTTGAGTTGTAGCCTAAAAAGACATTTCCCCTTTATTTCAACGTAGCTGATTTTTTCAACTTTAATATCCTTATTGACGTCAGCCAGTGAAAGCTTTATCAGCTAAATGATTTCCTTTTTCAATAAATTTGACAGGACTCCGTTTAGCATCGCCCAATTTTAACAGTTATGAACAGCTCTTGAGTTACCCAAATTGTCAAGGTAACCTAGACATTCAGCTACCCTATCTACCGTATTGTGATTAAAGATTCTCAAGCATGTGCTAAGGCTGGACGACTTGCATCTCATAAAGTTAGGGAAGCTGAAGCAGTGTTTGAGCAAATGTGCTTCTTTGGCACACTATGCCGGTTCAACGGCTCTGCGGCAACCCTATTACGTACGATCCGTAAGAAATCCGGAATCTCTGTGGTGATCACACAGAGAACTCAGTTTGTGTCACTTCCTGACCGGTACCCGAGTCCACACGTTCAGGATTTTACCTTGAATTTTGACCGTGCTAAAGTCTTTTTACAACTAGAGCTTCTTCGGAGTCATCATTTGATACCTATTGACCAGATGTACCAAAAACTTCTGCCACTACTCTATTTGAATTATTTGTGTCATTATAAATGCTTTTTGGCTTACGTAATGAAGCCCAGACTTTAGAGGTTAATCGACCAAATTCAACGTTGTCTCAGTTTACACATATATTGATGATATACTCATCACCAGCAAAGAAAACGACAAATATTTGCTGCATCTGCGCCAGTTTTTTCTCATCGTAAGGCATATGGCATTGTTATAAGCCCCTCAAAATGGGTTTTAAGTGCGGAAGTTGTTGATTTTCTGGGGCGACACATCGACACAGACGGTATTAAACCCCTAACCGAGAGGATAGCAATGATTCAGAAGTGCTCATTGACGGAATCAGCCCACAGCTTGTTTCCTGTTCTTGGTTTGATCGATTGCGATGTACATTTCCCTTCGTATGCTACTGCAACTTTCACCCCACTGACCGACCATGTTAACAGAATCTCAAGAAGATAATACTCGCTAAGAAGGTTGATACAAGATTCCAGTTATGAGAAGGAAGAGAGAAGTAACAATTGTCATGCGATCAGATGCTTTCCAAATTATTGTCAGTGCGGTTCTGCTACAAGAGCTCGACAGCCCCATTAAGCCATTATCGTTCTTTTACCAAACATTTTAATTGAATTAGCTCCATTACACCACATTCTCAGGAGAACTAAAGCAATTTGCCTTGCTGTTAAATAATTCCGTCACCTGCCTGAAGGACGTGAGCTTACAATTTTTACCAATCATGAGCTTTTGACCCATGCTTTTGAGCACCATGTGACCGGCATTCCCCAAGCAAATCCAGATATCTTGACTATGTTTTGCAATTCACAATCAATACCCACTGCGTTGATGGAACTGACAACAATGTGGCTCACGGAATATCTCTAGTACAAATCCATTATTTTCATTTCCTGGAATCGATTATTAGTAGTTGATTGATTAATGACGCAGAATTACGATAAGTTCGTCAAAACTCTAATCTAGCTCTGGAAGAGCTGTCGCTATCTTGCCGTTTCACCAGAATTACGTGCGATGTGTCAACTGACAAATCTCGCCCTCATATTCCTGATCAATTTTGAAAGCGATACTGAATATTTTTACTCATGTTCGCATCCTATTGTTTGTTCTCCCATATGCTTGATAACAGACCATTCCGCTTGACCTAACGTTCGTGAAGATGTTCGATTAAGAGCCAAACTATGTGCTTACTGTCAGCACAGTAAACGTCACTAACACAGTACATCGTAACCAGGAAATTTTTTAACCGTCGTGATACAGACGTAACGAGTAGATCTTAATAAAACCAAATTACCATGTAAATTATCAGGAAAGTGATAGAAATGCCTTTATGACAAATTATTTATTAAAATCAACCAAGTAGAGTGGTCTGTAAATGTAGATTTTATTTTCAATTTTAGACCGAACTACTTTGCCCTGCTGAGTACCACCTCAGTTTAAAGCAAATTATTCAGCGCACCTGTGCTTTTAACTTACAAGGTGGAAGCACCCCAGTGCAGCCGTCAAGCAATTTTACAGACGTTTCCGTCAGACAGCCAGTACAGTTATTCAATTTTTTCGCTGCCGTCATTGGAGTCGGTGAAATAGAATCAGTAGTATTGAAGAGGATACCACAAAAGGCTACGTTCCCCAAACTCATGAACACCGCTATCACTGCAACTTCAGATGAGGGAATGACAAACCAGCGGGTGGTTCAGAAGTGTGAAATCACACTAATTGATGAGTCGTGCAGTCGTTTTCCAATGATTTTATGGAATGAGGATTCAATTATGTACGCATTAAAATATTGGAAGCCAAAAGTAAGTGTTTTACCCCGTTATGGAGGTTTCACGCAAATCAGGTTTTTTCAAATAAATAATGGAAGGTTTAAGGGGATCTGCGTGTTAAAATGAATTTGTGAATAAAGATTAACGTATATGCCATAGATTTGTTCATATTGTTTCCTTATCCCGTGAGCGACGGAAAATTTTTAAATGTTTTATCTCAGCTGAGAGCTTATTTATCAGTACTCCGGTGCTTATTTTACATGTTTAACAAGCGCCGAATTTTCAAGCACAATTTCAGAAGTTGTCAGCCTCTTAGTGATTCAACGCAAAGCCGCCAAATTTAAAAAATGAATTCCTTGTCTGGATTTTAGAGTATAATAAAATGTAAAAGCTTGTTTTTTGGTCTTTTCGAGCTAATTCCTCACGTTGATTTGGGTACTTGGTGTCTATGAGGGTAACTTGTAGAGCATCTTATTTCGGGCTCAATTATGTCATTACTACCAATTGATCAAGTATACAGACAGCATAACCTGCGATTATTGGAATTGGTGAGCAAAATGAAACAAGTCGAACATTTGTCTAGTTTTTTTGTCTGACAGCATACATACTTGCGTGTCCGAGTTTGCTTTTACTGGCGACAGCTGTCACAAATTGCTTTGACAAAGCAGTAAAACCGAGTTGTTTGAATCATGAATGCACTAATTATTCAAAAAAGAGCTTCGTTCGAATAACGCGGCCATTTCGTGTTTTCTGGTTTGTAGAAATGTCTGCGCCAAAATTCGTTACATGTTTAGAGAAGGCTCAATGAATTAGTAATACCCATACCGAGTGGCTATTCATGGAATCCAGATTTAATTGTAGTTCACTTTATTGTCCATTAAAATTAATACATAAAGCTTGAACTTATGAAGGTTCAAAATATAGTAAAGCGATATTTTACAGAAGATTGTAACTTATTCACCATGTAATAAATCTGCTACGAAAATTTTCTAGTCAACGATAGCACGTTGACTAAGAAAACTGTTGATATACCTCCATGTCACTTATTAATTAAGAGGATGGGAAGTAAAGTGAGTCGGTGTTGTAGTTGGGAAAGTTATTCATAGTCAGACAGGTATTCGAAAAATCACTGCTTTGTCCACAACAGTAATGTGAATGTTCGGCGTGGGAAAAATTAAATCGAAGTCTTTGGACTTGGAGTTATGTGTTATGGACACCCAGACCATTGTTTTGCACTTCAGGTAACGGTAATATCTGTGGTCGATTGTCCAGTCCGCTACGACAGCTTTCGCCGTGGAGTTGTTGCTGTGCCCAGTGATAGGACAGGTATCATCACAATGCCTTCTTGTGAAGAGGCTATTCGGCTGGCCCAGTATGCCAAGTATTCCGGCTGGTCACCTATCACCGGAGTCATTTCCAGTGACTGCTTTGAACAACAATTTTCCCAGCCATTGCCGGTTACATTTGGTCGGATTCCACCTGAGGTAGATAACAGTTCGTAATAAATTACTCTAGTACCTTTCAACAGGCATGGACACTTGAACAATTTGTGAAATGGCATTCATTTTGGTTATCGGTTGTAGGCGAGATAAAATAGGTCTAGTAACTATGAACTAATCGATGGGCTCGTTAATATCAGTTATTAGTTTTATTTTCCTTTAGCACAGTAACCTAAGATAGAAAGATTTGTATGAATTTGACAATTTTAGTATCAAATAAGTCATCATGGGTGATAGAAATGCCAATTTTTAAAATAAGATATTGTTATAATCGTCTAACTTTTGAAATCATAATTTAACATCTTGGATCTTACAATAAAATTGTAACCCACTACTTTATTTGAATAGTCAGCACAACTCATGAATGTTGTCATAGTTGGATTTGTTGTTATCAGGGTTTCCAGTTAGCCTATTTACAGATATTTTTTCGAAGCGAGACGAGTTGCCATTACAATCATGTAACATTGCTCGGTTTAAAAAAAAACTTTGAACATCGAATATGTTGATATTAGAAACTGATTTTATCCTAATAAACTTGTCCGGTGCTTGCGAATAGGAGGCTGCAACTCGTTACAACATAAATACCTATTTAGTTTGTTGAAACGGCGAAGGTGCATTGATAAGAAAATCAACTTACACAAAGTGATTCTGTATTCGAAACCCGATTCCCACTTTGCATATCTTGGTCCAACTCTGGTCTTAATGACGACTCCTACAGAAACCAGGATCGATACACACACCTTTGGTGATCCTTTTTTAAGATTCAAAATTCATGGGTGCATACTTGTCTATAACCTAAATGTACTTTAGTTCCCTAAAGTGAATAATAGTCGGCTCCCTTATGTATTGTATACTTGACACCAGCATTATTCGCTCATGATGGATAGTTTGCTTCAATATCGGTCTGGAACACTTTTTAAGGTTATCACATGTAACTGAAATGGCTATCCTGGCATTTGCAAAACAGGCCTTAGGTCACTAAGGCCTACAAACAATGTCTGTATGTTGAAACGTGGAGGTAACAAAAAGAATTCCATTCTTATTTAAGGATTTTTTTGTTATTACTCAGGTAAGCAGGGGCATAGGAATTCAAAAACCATCTCTTTAAACATCGTTTTCAACACATAACATAATGCCTCAATTGTTGCGGTAGGGATGTGTTTTTTTTTCGAAAATAAAGTGATGTTGAAAATTTTCAAGTTTTCAAAACGTCATTCATGATTTTTAACGTTTGCCGATTTTATTTCGACATTATTATTTAAGTCCCTCCATTTATGTCATAGTACTGAAATACCTGAACACCCCGTTACTAACCGCGGCAGCTCAGATTCATATATAGCACTATTATTTTATCTGGAAATTAATGAACATATTTCCTTTTTAAGACCTTTAGTTTAATAAGATGGAGGAGAAATATTACGTGCATGACTTAATTTGCACACGTTTTTTTCTTCTAACCTAAAATTATATTTATCGGAAAAGTATTTTTGCGGTGTTTGTGGTGCAGAAAGGCTCTGACGCAGTTTCGAAATACTGAAACAGAATAGCCGAGTTTGCGATGGCAACTTGCAAAGAACACGTTCGACGGCACTGCGTTTTATGTAAATTCCAACAAGGAAAAAATGCTTCTTATGCACTGAAATCAATTTTAGTGTTCTTGGTGCCGACATTATGACTTATCGAACGTGTAATTATTGGTCAAAACGTTTTAGAAGTGGTGATTTACTCTTAATGACCAGCCGCGCCACGGATAGCCTCGAAAGTTTGAAGATACGGAATTGAAAGATTTACTGGATGAACACTCCGTGCAAACGCTAAAGAGCTTACAGCTCTGTTAAAAGTCACCCAAACGACTAAATTCCAAGCGTTTGCACCATCAACTGGAAAAAATTCAAAAACTTGGAAGTTGGATCCCACATGTTTTGATCCAAAACAACCTAAGTCATCATATGAAAACATGCCTTTACTACTCGCCCTCCGGCAACAAAAAAGGACTCCTTGTGGAAAATTATGATGGGTGATGAAAAATACATTTTTTACTAGAATTCTAAATCCAAAAGGTCGTGGGTAGATTCTGGGCAATCCAGTTCATCAATGCCGAAATAGGACACCTACTTGAAGAAGGTTCACCTGTGTATCTGGTGGGACATGAAGGATGTACTTTATTGCGAACTCCTGGAAACTGGTCAGACGTTACTGCGAAAAGCTACAGCTGAAAATTGAACTAATTTAGCTAAAGGCTTTATCAGTGGAGGCTATTTACTGGGCATGGATGCAGGAAAGTCATGCAGCCACATGACAACGCTCGACCTCACGTTGCTCAAGCAACTCAGTAGACCCTCTTGAATTTGGAATGGGAGTTCTCCCACACGCGGCATATTCACCAGACTTGGTCCCATCCGACTACCGTTTATTCTGGTCAATGCAGCACGCCTTAGTGGATAAACAGTTCAAAACGCTGGATGATATTCACAAATTCGTAGGGGAGTTTAGTATCTCGAAGCCTGCAACTTTCTTTGGCAACGGCATTCGTACGTTACCACAGAAATAGCGCAAAGTCATGGAAAGTGATGGACAATATTTTCAAGATTAAATTCGCTTTTCTCTACTTTTTATATTGAACAAATTTCCCTAAAAATCGGTAAAAATTAAATAATACACCTAATAAACACTTAATCTTGCACAATTTGACCATAGCATTTTATGGAATTAATATTTTACCAAAATAACTCATTTAGAATAACGCTTTATCTGTGCAAATGCAGTATGTGTACTAGTTACTGCACATACACTAGGCCTGGTGTTTTGCACTCACAATGAACCTTTCTTTAATCGTTCCAAAGCGTTAGCAACAAGTAATGAATCAAAGCTTATAGATATACATGTTCACTGGGAAATAACATGACTCATAGTTTTAATGAAGTGTTCAAACTTTTATTTCTCACGTCAGTAATCGGATTCCGATTAAGGACAGCAAAATCTAACTGATAGTTCTGATGAATGTGAGTCACTTTGGGATAGAAGCCTGCACTTTATTTTTAATGTAATCGCGTTACTTTGACTTTGTTTATCGAATCATTCACAAGATATGCCTTACTTGGTTTCTTATGCCACCTTCTAATTGCCGCAGTTTGTAACATTAGTCCAACAGCTAAACTGTTTGTGTTTCGCTATTATTCAATATCCGTTAAGCAATGTCCAATGTCGAAAAGCCTGTTGTTGGTTTTTTGTGCCTGACGATCAGGGATTACACTTAATGGGGCATATTTCATTCAGGAAAATGTATTTTAAACACTTAAAATCCCTTTATGTGTTTCAAGGCTGCGCAGCAAACGAAATCCGCAGCGTAGGTCTTAATTGCGAAGAGAAATTCCACGAAATTGAAGAATGCCAGAGTCTATTCTAAAAGCAATTTCTTTTGTTCAATAATTATTGTTTGTAACGAGAAATACAAGTTCAAAGTACCTAATAATGTAAGCTGGATTTTCTTTATCTTCTGGATTGCCTCACAATAGACAGATCGGTTAAATTTGAAAAGACACATGCAACCTCTCATTAGAAAGGTCTTGGCGAATGGTTTGCGAAATGCGCTTGTTGGCGCAATATATTTTCTAACTATTGAAAAGAATGAAACTTGTTGTCATCGTATGCTTTTTATGGATTTGGTGCTACGATTGATCCAATTAGCCAACCTAGTGAAACCTTGACTTGAATAAGCCAGAGTTGATCAACAAACTTTCGAAGTGTTATATTGTAATCACACCTAACCGCATGCATTTAAGCAGTTCGGGCAAAGTTCATTTAAATCAGAAGGAATCTTTTAACGCCCGGCAGAAGCACTTGTCAGGTTCACTTAAGTCTGCTTAATTTGTCATAGAAAATGAGGAGTCCAACCCAACATTGGCATCTCGGTCAGAAAGTCAAATTTAAGAGTGGTAACTTAAAATGAAGTCCTCATTGTGATTTTGGTAGGCCTAAAAGATTGTTTTTTCCAAATAACATAAGTGATGTACGTCTTCCCTTACTTTTGACCAGTGATGTAAATATTATAGTTCTGTTTTAAATACTTCCCTTGTTGTAATCTACTCTTTGGTAATTAATTTAAAAAATGTCTTACTTCCCCGTCAGACCACTTGTTTTATATTGATTTTGGGAGCTCTAGAATCTTGTATAGCTTTATTTGAATATCATTGACAATTACGTTCTTAAATAATTCTGTTTAAAATTCACATTCTAAAAGCAAATATAGCTGGTAAATTGTAAAAGACATAGTTTTTCCAGAGCAACGCTTATAAATATTTACCAACTGATTAGTTTATCAAGTGATTTTCTGTAGGACTACGAACTCTTAAGCAATAAACATTAACAACAAAGCTTTGCATTCAAATATGCATAATTAAAGGTCAACTTGGCTCACAACTGAATACTATGCAGCATTTCAACTCTTCAATTTATTGCTGGATTTAATTCCTGATCTTATGGTGGCAGGTAAAATTTAGGGGATTTCTTTGGCAGTAGCTGCACCCTCGAAGTCCTGCCCTTCTGCCCCACTTCGGCGGTTATCTTTGTGACATAAGGAAAACTTCAAGTGTGTGAAATTCACCTCAGTTAACAACGTTGCGAAGTCATTTTACAACATCTAAACTCCCTAAGAACTCAACACAAACTAAAATTTATTTTCATATGCTAATATTGGTTTCTCGTATTTTAAGCACATCTTATGTTGACTACCCAAATCTTGCTTTTACTCACAAAAATTACATTATTTCCTAGTGTTATAGAGCCATAACTATTTTATTGCAATGCTTTTAGATAGAACACGTATCTCTTGCAGGAATACACACAGTTCGGACAATTGAAGATATTTTACAAGGAAAAGGTGCGTGGACTTATTTAAAGTGGGTGGTTTTTGTTTTCCTTCGAGCTAAACCAAAGTGGTTCGCTAAAACGTCTCTGCCTATTATTATTAACGAAGCCACAATATCCGCGACCGTAAAAATTCCGAGACTTGGGAAGCTAAATAACCCTCATTTCTTTGAAGGCAAAAACCGTACGATCCTGAATTTAGAGTTTGAGGTAGTTAACACTTACTTAGACTTACTTTAAGATCATTTTAATTTAACATTATAGTATTCAGTAAGCAGCAGCAAGGATATAAAACCTTTCCATCCCATGTTGACCGTTCCCATCGAAAATATCCTTTGTTAGAAGTGGCCACTTTTGATTTCACATAAAGCAGTTCTCTTCAGACTGTGTCATTTTGATGATAAATTGAAACACGACTTCATTTTTAGCCTTCAAATAAGCTCATTTATGGCAGTTGTTAAGACATGTTCTAGTAAAACGTTGTGCCTTACCAGGTTGGGACACAAATGCAGATACTTTGCAACAAATGTTTGAAATGCTAGTAACTAGTATCAAACTAGAATTCCAGGGACGTCAAGTGAGTGGAATTGGCAACCTAGATAGCCAAAACTGTGTTTGGGGATCTGAGTAAGAATTTTGTCAAAAGTGTCATCGGATAGAAGGGTCACCAAGTTCTGTGCCATTTAGATGCTCTGTTGGTCTTTTACACACCCCCAATTGATGTTTCGTCCTTGCCCGCAGCTTCCATAATATGCTGCCAAACTTAAGGTGTCATTGATTTTTCGGAATGGTAAAAATGACGCTGATTATATCCGTGGTTCACGTGGAGTTCTTGGTTTCAAGGTGGCACCTTAATGCTTTTGACATAAATGAGTCGATTTTAATATCCCAAATCTACAATAGGCAATCCGATGTCCAGCAATATTATTAATTAATGTTACTTAACCAGTTACTTTACCCAACTGTTGGTTCCATTTTGATGAAAAAATCTTCCTGTTTAAATCCATTTCTGATGTTTCGGTAACTTTCCTAACTAACAGCAACTTTATTTGAAGTTGTTCTTCATTCCTACAAAACGCTTTCATAGGCGTAGAGAATGCGAGTGCGCGACGACGTCACTTATTTAACTCTCACCAGAAGGAGCCAACAAAACATGGGTCATTGCTATTAAAGCTGCATCATGGATTAGAGAACCATACAGCTCAAATATCCCTGTGCATTAATGTGTTACATTGCAGCGGAAAAAATTTTCCTGTACAAACTAGTGCTAAATATGAAGTCTATGATTTGGAAGGACAGTGTCGGCTTGTTTAAAGTGATGAGCAAGTATAAAAGATACTATGACATTCAAGTTTCGAATTCATGGGCTACTTGAATTTACATGGGTTTGATGTTTAAAAAAACACTGGATAATGCTCAGTCTTTTTCAAGAAAGTTACAACGATATTGTCAAGTGTTAGGGATAAATATGGAAGCTTAATTAGACGTCTGCTTGTCTAAGCAAGCTATAGGTGTCGATAATATTTAAGACTGAAAATTTAAATAAATCGGCAGTTTCGTTTAGTAGAAGTGTCAAACGCAGTGGGCTCAAACTCCAGCAAGAAAGCACACAATTTTAAAACATCGAGGAAGATGGCCGCAAGTATCACGAAAGGTTAAGTAAAGTAGGAAGCCAGGCATCAAAGGTTTTCAATGGCTACTTACATGGACTTCCATAAATTTTAATTCTGGTCAGGTCCTCTCAAAGTTTGCTTGAACAATCCGTTGAATTCTAAATCATAATTAACTACAGAAATATAAGTCGGTAGAATTATAATTTCCACCAAACATGTCCTAAGGCGCCTTTTATTTAAAATTTTTAAACCAGACAGAAAATCCGAAACAAAAATAGCACCGGAATGGTTACACGTGTGCAAGCTTCGTTATTTTTTATTAATGACGCGTTTTTCATTAGTGAACCAAATTTTATAATCGGAATGTGGGTAAAATAGATCATAAATTTATGGTTCTATTGGATGACTTTTACTTAGTGGAGGTTTGTTTAGTTTTGCAAACACTGCAAACGCACTCCATATACTTTTAATAAAATTTTCACTTAGGATCTTCCTCTTTTTCTGTGGTCTTTTTTGGCACATAATTGCTTCTGTGGCTGTGGTTTTCAAATAAACGTAACATTATTTGTGATTCCATTCAATTTTGCTTCAAGAAGGCTAAATATGTATGAAGTTCTTTTCTTAATCATAGTTAACTCGGGATTTGGCATCATTTTTGCCATGTTTACGAGGCTAACCGTGGATATTAATGATGTCTTGCGGCTGGTTCGTCTCTCTTGTGCGAATTGTCAACATCGGATGTATCCCTGTTCCAATGAACAAAATCTGGGAGGTTATCACAAAGACGAGACACCCCAATCCAGCCTGTTCACGTGTATAACTCCCGAATGTCCCCTTTCTGGTCAGCGATTTGATCCCATTGACTCAGAACACCTTCTAGTGAGTATGTAACTTTAAGAAATTTGAAGAAACTGTTCTGGTCAACATTTCGCACAGTGTGAAATGCATTGTTAAATAAACCGAAAAATAAAATGAATTTTTAAGCCATTTAAAACTTTGAATACATTTTTGCTCAGACATTTGCTTCATCTCTAGCACTGAATTCTATGATCATGCTGTGGTCAAATCAAGGGGTTTCCATAAAACTGTTTTTACTCGTGACTCACCCGCTCTCACGATCCAGTACTGTTCTTTTACAGACAAAATAGATTTCAGCATATTTAGGCTTTGGAGATGGAAAATAAAGCAATATCGGAGCTTGTTTAGGTCTGCGCGGAAAATGCGGATTAATTCTTTAGCAAATCCATTTTTAGTTGCACTTGATTAAAGATCTGAATCTTTACCTTCGTTTTAAAGGACCACACTGTGGTGTTGTTCTTTTAATTTGTCATTGACTTCATTGGTGTGTACTTTCTCGATCACGTTGATGCAGCCGATCCTATCGCAACATTATTCTAAGTAAATATCAAGTCCATTTATTTTAGTCATGGAGATTTGTCGAAGAGCCTTGCAAACCGCTTTAAGCACCCGTTTGCCTGTGAGCCTATTCATACAAGATGTTACTAAAACATTCGCTGGGCTATTTGATAGACTAACTCCCTCGAACTATCATCAATCGTACTGTTTCAAATTTATGTCTCAATTTATAGCGGTGACTTCATCAGCATCAGTGGCAGACCAACCTTCCCATTAGCGACAGCTAGCCACACCTCCATTTTCCCCAAAAGTTTCACTTTAACCAAAAACATTTTTTCTGGTGCAGTTACAATCGCTTCCTTTTGAAGTGCTCTAAGGCTTTTGTTTGCCACCTAAATTGATGTGGGATTCATTTTGGCAAGATGGTGGCCATGAGAATGTCTATTAAAACCACATAATTCTGGAGGTTCGATTAATCGCGTTTTAGTGTGAGTGCCTAGTCATCCTTTAGGAACTTTTAATTCACCCGCGCGTATCTGTCAGCTCTTGCGTTTGTTTATTCCTAATATAGACAAGGTTTGCAAAAAATTACTTTTTTATTTCTATTACTATTACTGCACTTATACGTGCAACACATAAAAGTCACTGCGATTCTATAAAAAGGCCAGAATGTGTCTTATTTTCCAAAAACAAAACGATTTAAGTAGCGGCTGATGTAACTATAATGTCGTCGGTGTTTACTTAACTATGTCAATGTTCTAAGAAATGAATTAGTCTGTCTAAGAATTCCTGACTTCGTTTATGGTATTGGTGCCATATACTGCATTGCTTTTGGGAAGTAATTTCAGTGTGAATGTTAGGTTCACAAGTTTGATTTTCCAACAAAAACAGGTGATCTAGTGATCAGACAACGTGCCAAAAATCTATGCACATTTTCGTTCCTTCTGTGAAAAGCTAGCAAGCTTTGTATTTACACAGCTTGGTTTAATTTTAAGGCGAACAACGACATCACATCTTTCCTCTTTTATGGCTCCCTATTCCTATCCTCCTATTTGTTCACTGAGATTAATTTCAGTTCAGTCTGCGTCATTTGTTCATAAAGGGTCCTCGTGGCCGTTCGGGTAAACCTCAACAGTACTGATGTCTGCAACTGATATCCACCCGTTCTGATGCAGCTTATTTAAAAATGGATTAGTGGCTTGTGAATACCTGGTGTATCGGCCAATAATTTTCGGAGATACATTTTATGTCTGCATTCAATGACTAATACACGCTTTTATAAATGCTTAAATTCCCATATTTTTTAGGCTTAATCTCCTGAAGTAGTGTGCTCTATATGAAAAGAAACTATGAGTTAAGTTCAGCGTAAATAATCAGGAAAAGTCTATATAGGAGAACCATTCACTTTTATTTGCATGACACGACACTTATCTTTACGGCTCGTGCTGTATTTAGTACGTCTGTGTAGTAATAAACGAGCTGTATGAATTCCTACGGTTTGTAAGTTTTGTTCACTAACTTCGTTAAATGTGTCAAAAATGGCCTTTATTACTTTGTATTCAGTTTTGACAAATAATTTATGGTATAGAGCTGTGCACGGGTACTTGGAAGAAGCATTCCCGATAGTTTTCTATGCCTACGCCCTAATGAGGGCACAAAGGCATTGAAAAGTTCAAAACAGCGGTAGTTTTGCATTGTATGCGATATTTTTTTATCAATTTACGTATGAATTAAAGTTTAAATTTACACGCAATCCTTTTAATGAATTCCGTCATCGTGTTTCTCTTTTTAAATCTGTTTTCTGTATCAGATTTGTTCTGCATATACTTCTTTTGCTACCTCAAGAAAATAGGATACCTTTACCTCACACGCCTATCTTTGGAAAAAAATGTGTTGCTTTTTACCTTATGATAGTATTACTTTCAAATTAACTTCCTTACAGTTTTCAGAAATCTTGTTAGTTTTTAAGAGTATTTGCATCAAACCTTGTATTCGAATCGTGCGTAATTTGAGATCCTTTGCAAAGTGTTTTAATTTTGGTGTCCCATATATTGCACTGTTTCTGATTAATAAGTGTAAACATATGCTTGTTTATGTTTAAATACTATGCGTCTGCTATCAAAGTCAGCGCGCCTGCCTTGTTTCCACTCTCATGATTCAATCTTGATATTTTGCTTCTATTTTCCTAGGTAAAGGAAATTCGTAAGATTTATTATAGACCATCGTCACATTCCTTAATGATTCTCGTCTTAAGTGATATTTTGACAAAGCTGCTTACAAATTTAGGCTCCCATGGAGCAATCAAAGGCTTTATTACTTAATTAGTCTGCAAGAAGTGACTTTTCTAGTGTAATTACTTGAGGTGTTAAAGGCATATTCTAAACACATGGTGCCTTGTGCAGTAGCTGTTTCGCAACACAAAAGGAAAGCAGGTATTCAACGATCTTTAATTAAATGCTGACAAACTGTGGAATTGGTGTTTATATGAGAGCTAAATATTTTAATTAATGCCAAACCAACAAAGGGGTTGTAATATATCTTCGCTGTAACTCTAAACTTTTGAATAGATTTATCTCTTTGTTCCCAAAAATTCACACTATTCCCGACTTTGACAAATGACATCTCTGTCCAGAGTCAATATTCTCCGCTTCGAAAGGCATCACTTGTGTTTCAAATGTACTAATATTGGCTATACTTCGAAATACCACTTCAAGTATGCCAGGTCGACTGATACCTCAAAAAGCTTTACTATTTTTCGATTTAACATGGACTATGCATCTCTAGGGTACTTTTAGCTTTATTTGTAAAAATGAATATGGTGATTGCGGTTGAAATGGCGCAAGAATACTCTTGATCGACTCAGTCCGCCCTGTCCTATGCATTATATTCAAATCTATATACGAAGAATTTATTGGCTCCCATGTTTATTGGCGGCTTTGTTTTCTTAAAAATTTTCATTCGCAACATATTCTGATTTGTATACGTTAGAAAGACTTTTGCGGTCTACGCTATATTTGTTTAAACATTTGGCTGAGGAAAGAGGTCGATAGATTAGTTAAAGCAGTAAAGCACCTAAACCATTCATGAAATTGACATTTTGAAGGTATTAAATTATTTTATGGGGAGACTGAATACGTTAGTGGTTTGCGTAAAGCAGTATCGCTAAAAGGCCTTGACAGATTTAGTTGGAATTGGGAACATAACATCCGAGTAAATTCCTGGGGATATGGTTACTTTGTTTAATCGAGTTTTTGGGTGATATTAAAGTTAACACTATAGGGCGACATAAACTTCTAAAAAAAACAAATAGTTTAAGAATATACGACTAGTTTTAAAAAAGTATCTTATATTTTAGAAATTCTTGTTTGCACAGAAAAAATATCTGGTCTTTAATGTTTGTTTTTAGGTAGAATATAACATCTTACTAACTTTGTCCGACCATACGGGAACTTACAGTAGATGCGCGTTTACAAATTCGGCAATGGAAGCAATTTTCGGAGTACAAGCGAGACAATTTCTCCACCTCACACCAACCAATCGGGCGCAACTTAAATGGAAACTACTACTGAAACGATTTAAGGTATTTTGTATCACTTGTTGACTAAAAAGAAGATTCCCTATTGTCACCCAGAATAGACCATTGCAAAAATTATTTCACGTCAATACCATTGACAACTGAAAATTGATGTCATTTAGTCGTCGCATTTCTAGCCACTTGGCAGATTTCTGTTTCCACTTTTCATTGTTCTACACTCAAATTTTGAAAAGGTTTAGAGTTGGGTCTAGTAATGACTGGTTGCAGTTCACATATTCTAACTTCAAAAGTGGATGTAAACTTATGTTTAAAAATGGGAATGTAGCTTAAGCCAAACTCTATAAAAAGTGGTTTATAGTAATTTTCATGCATTCATTTATTAAGTTTACTCTCATGTTATAAAATAACTCATTTGAAAGACGTAACTGCCACTAATGTTCTTCGGGAGTGAAGAATCATTTAACCGTTTAATTACCAGAGTCAAAATTCATGCTGTTAAACGTACTCATAATTAACAATGTTATATAGATCTACTTCTGGATGTGTCAGCCAGGTTATGATCAGCCCAATCCTTACCTGAACGTTCTGGCCTGCGAGCGCCCGAATCCTTTTGAGGTTTATTCCTCGTTGTGAGGCACCGGTTTGTGATATCGTGTGTTGAATTTCATATACCTTGTATAGTTTAATATCACCTTTTTGCTACAAAATCTCGTTGTGATTGTTGTATTAGGACTTTTATGATAAGTGATTTCATTCTATGAAATTTGGCAATGCTCTTCTTCGTCGGGATTTCACTGGTCTTGATGGAGACTACATCATTTTTCAATGCGAATCTAATAAATAGGCGGTTGGCTGCGCTTTGGGATTTTCTCATTTAAAATACGCACTTGTTGCCATTATGTCCTATACAATATCCTTCTTGCGAGTTTAATGCAATCTGATTTCTACTTGGGGGTGAAAACGTAAGGCGAAAAATGAGCAGTATTTTATTGGACAGTCCACTTAGCTTAGTTGTTTTGTGTCACTTTTAGACATCAGTCGTGTTCAGTGTTCACAAAGTGGTAATTTCATTATGGCAACTTTGTGAAGCTAAAACGGTGGCCCTTTGCACTGAATTGAATTTATACCCCACCCTTATAAAACAGTACAAAAAGTGTGATTGAAAGTTCTGCATAAACTGGGTGCCTATGATGAAGACTAAGTGTTTTGACATGGGCTGATTGATACATTACTTGTTTGCTGTGCCAAAGATAAGTTTCATGAATTTTCCCAAGTTGTGGTAAAGTAAATAGTCAATTAATCCCTTCCGATGAAATGGTAAGGTGATTTTGAATTTGCGTAACAGTGAGTATTTGGTTGCACAAAATAGAAGTATACAGTTCTTAAATTTTAAAGCAGTGTAGAAGTCTGGATCCGAAGCGAAATTAGTCTAGAAGGACTTAAATTTTGGTTATTTAACCAGCTGTAATTTATTGCAGCGAAGACTTGCGTCGAATGGTTATTGAATTCATCCAAATATCGAAAGACTCAAGAATATCTGATACGAACATTTTAAAAATATGTCAGCAGCCATTTATGACCTGCAGTAGTTAAAATCAGATTCAGCGGACAGATTGACATCTTTGTATTGTTTTCAAAAAAATAGAGAACATATCCACTACATTGTGGTAATTCGCGTTCATGCAGTACGACAAAACAAGCGGTGTTTGCTCATTGAAATAACATGCAGATGTACCAAATGGCTTCTCTTATTGCGGACGTGGACAAGTGAACACTGCCAGCAAGAGGTGCAAGTAGTGAGAATGTTTGTAGGCAAATAAAGAGATGGTGTCATTTGTGAAAGCAGATAGGTAAATATGTAAAGATTTGTGGAGATATTTGGCATGAGATAATTGCCTACATAATCACCAATTTGTGACGCTCACAGAAATTTTTTTCGATTTGTGAGGACCATAAACAGACGCCATTATCTTTGTTAAAATCTACTTGAGGGCGTTTACTTTTATCCTTTTATGTTCCAGAAACATTAAATGGACCGACTTGCCTTAAAGACTGTCAATCGAACCCCTTCTCTTTGAGCACCTTGTAGGAGCTTTTGGTTTACTTGGCATGCTGTCTTTCATCAATTCAACATTAAATCAACAATAATTAAGTGCCCTATCCACTCAGGCACCCACTTTCTTTAAACACAAAAATGCAGGTAGATTTAAAAGGAATGCAGTTGCTAAATCTTAAGTATTCACTATCTGAATATATTTTTTTTGTTATTTTTGCAACTCTAATGAGGATCGTTAATCTCTCCTGGTTTCAACCAGGTTGAGGTGGGTAATTTTAACACTTCAGAAGTAAATGCCCCAAATGTTGGAGTATCTGATGCTCTTTAACTACTGGTCATTTCACTGTACTTCAGTGAGAAGTCCAGTTAGCTTCAGCATGAACTAAAGTCATTGGTCATTTGAAAATTCAATACATTTTATGGCGTGGCATCGTCATTTTTTTCTCTTTCGGGGTCCCCAGTACCACTTAAATGGTTTCAGCTCAAATTACCTAACTGCGCATGACCTTGGTTTCAGCTCGCTTCAGAATTGTACTTACGAAAAAAATACTTTTTGGTTTTACATTCGTTCATTTAACCAAGAGAACAAGTCTGCTCCTATTTTTTCGGTCTTTCAAATATTACAGTGAGCGTAATATGTGAGCGTAAACCTCTTGGGGAATTCATGTGCTTTGTACACCTGGAAGTTACTTTATCGTACTTGTAATTCAGCCTTATGTCGTTTATTGGTGCAAGGAGTACAAGTGGGTAAGATGTCTTGAAAACCTACAGTGAGGACTCTGCTTTTTAGCCACGTTTGATTCCGCTTTAGTGTATTTTACATCAACGATAAATAAACTATCTAAAAGTGTTTGAAAACATAAAGTGCTTTCTGTCCGTGTTGAGTTCAAAACTATCTCATACTAATGGCTACTTCTAATTTTGGGTTCCTATTTTTTAGCATTCACTCAGTTAATAATATAGACGAAGATTAAAGTTTGAAGACTACCCAGGATACTGGAGACATTTAATATTTTGACGAGCCAAAGCGATTTTACACTTATGTCCCAGTTTTGTATGTTAAGATTGTGCCTACGTGTTGCAATTACGTGTCTAGCATTTATGGGCAGCCAATCAAATTGTAGATTCACTTTCCTTCGTTGCTCTGACGGTTATGTGCATGTATAGTAGCTTTGTATAAACTCTAAAATTTAGGTCACGAGCGTAGCGTTAATCGAGTGGACACTCATAAAGATCATCAGAGATTAACGGTCATTAGGACCCTGGCAATGTGGTTTGGATGACACGACCTATAATAAATCATTTTAATTTTGTGGTTTCATGTAATGTAAAGCTTTACGTCGAAGCCAGCTGTTTAGAAACACTTTAACTCAGCAAATCATGATAAATCATTAGTTTAAGCTAGTTCTAGTGTCTATGAAAACTCGTTTATATAAAAATGATATTTTCGACTGACCTTTTGCATAAAAATAAAGTATATCTAATAAGACTGACAGAAAGATAGTTATGTACAGGAATTGGCATGCATAAACGATTGTAGTTAGCATGAAATTCTCGGAAGAGATGTGGTAAATGCGTGATAACAAAGTAGTGGAATGTCTGTTGGGATCAATTTGGTCAAGTAACAGTACCTCACGTGACATCCTCTGAAATACTCGGAATGGATACTCGGCTCGACGTGGTCACATTTTTGCCTCCACAACCTTGCATAGAAGAATGAGTAGCTGAGATTTTCTTGGGCCGTTGGTGGGTATTCTCTTTCACGTGTTTCGAGTAATTTCTATGGACCAAACTAGATCTATGGAGGCAATTGCGACCACAAATCAGATTTACTGCTTCTGCTCGCGCATTGGGCAAAAATGCAAAGTAAACTATAATGTCCGTTGAGTATTGTATTGTGGTGAATGAGCTGAAAAACTTGGTAAGTTGAACGATCTCCTTGTGATATTCCTTTGCTGTTTCATCGTACCTTTTCGCATCAGAATACTGACGAAGAGCCATGCATATTACCAAGGGCAGCGATAGACACAAAAAGACGGAGCTCACGCCCAGATGGCCAAGGATTCGACGCCTCTCAAGTTTTTGCTTATAAGACGTCGATGACTTGAGTCCACCGTTGCGAATCAGATGTTTCAGTTTATAGCAAATTAAAATGTTGAGAACGAGGATGCTTATTGTTGGAGCGGTGTAAGAGCAGATGACCGACATTAAGATTACGTAACGTGGACCTGCGGAGGTTGGATCCACCAAGGCACATCTCAATTGACCATCATAGCTGCGTTCAAGCCTGTAGTAAACTGCAGCCGGTATGAATGAGATGAATGCAAATAAAAAACACGATAATAGTCCGAAACGGGCGTACTTCAGGTGAATATCTCCACGTGCTTGAATGGGACGGAATATTGTGATTGTTCTGTCGACTGTGAAAGACACTAGTGTTGCTGCTGCCAGAAGACCGGTCGCCGCTGGTAAGTAGGACACAAACTTGCACGCGAAAATTGACTGAATATCTAACTTAAAGTTGATAGTGCAACCGGAAGCAAACCAGAGTCCACGACCAATAAAATGATCCAATAATGATTCGCCAATGCACTGAAATATGTGTGTGATGGCAATGTACATTACATATATGTTAAACCTGCACGATTGGCGTTTCTGTAATCTGACGAAGATGATAAAAACGAAAAGGTTTGAGGGAATTCCGATAAGTAATAGCATAGGTGTTATATATGCTCGGAAAAAGTAAACAGCATTTTCAGTGGTGGACATATTTTGGGGACATTTGTGGAGTACGGGATTTTCTGAAACATGTTCCATGCTGAAACAGACGCGTCAGAGGGTAGTGCATCTATGTGATGCTAAAATGGCACTTCGATCCGTCTTGCACAAGTCTGGCTGAAAGCTAATTGGTTGCTCGTGGATTTGCCCAATTAGCATTCAAAGCTGTTCCTGTACGAATTGTCTGCATGAAATCTCTAAACTGTCTCACTTAAACATAAACAGCAAAATCACCATAGTAAAAACCTTAAGATCAGATTTTAGAAATGCACTTTCAATTATTTAGGGACAAAATTGACTGTGATTTCTGCATAAACCATAAGAAATCACATTAACGACGTGAGTTATAACCGACAAGAAGTTTTATTCCAGTTTACGTTACTTGAGTAATTCTAAAATGTTCTCGTTCAATCACAAGCGCATTTACTCTAACTAAATTAGCACTGAAACGTTCAATTCTTTTACTGTGTAAATTTCATCAATGTCGCGGACTGTTGATTTACAACCAGAAAAATCAGCACCCGCAAATACTCAAATGTCCTTTATGAGGGTAAAAAAATTACCCTCGTGTTGAATGCGTCCATCTGCACTACCTTACTCTGTCCATTCTAATAACATTAAACTTGGTTTCGTTAATGGCATTGACGATAGAACCAGCGAAAATGCAAGTGCGCGCACTGAACGCGCTGATTCGGTCATTTGACCGAGAAGAGAAAGGTTCTCGCCACGAGGTCTCGTCCGGCTTTGCACCGGAAGGCTTACGTTAGCCAGGCGACTTGACGCATTGGTCCTTCTCTCA